CCCACTGCGAATAACGTTGATCATAGTAGCAGGGTGTACTTTTGCCGTATTTGGGTTCTTCTGAGTGACAGCTAAGGGATGTACGAGTACAGAAGCTAGGGTATTGAGTAGTATAGTCAGATAGCTAATATAGAACGAGACTAAGCATGAATAAGTTAGTGGCGTTCTAGTAAAGGGCGAATCGCCCACTATTCCACTAGTAGTGCTAAAAATAGAGCGAGCATGTAATCTCGTTCTAGTAGAGGGCGAATCGCCCACTATTCCACTAGTAGTGCTAAAAATAGAGCGAGCATGTAGAATGATTTAAGGTCTCTCTCCTCCCTGCTCAGGCATAAAAAGAAAAAGAAAGTAACTATGACTGACAATCGGTGGACGCTATTCCCAAGAAGTACGGATATTGCATCCGGAATCATTCCACAAAACAACGATCATGACGATAGCAGAGAAATCGAGAGCCACACTGACATCAATGACAATCGAATTACTGTGTTTCCGAGGAGTGAGGAGATAGACGACAGCAAATTTGATGCCAGAAACATCAGTCAGCCCCAAAACAGGGAGGTGCGACGCCTTCAAATTCCAGAACGATGGCTCCAGCTCCCAATTAAGAGGACCATCAAAGCCGATGAACCACACCCCAAACGCCAAATGCCATCATTTTGCAAGGACCACACGCCCTGGATAAAATATGAAAAGTTCAAAGAGGGAGCAAAGCCGGGAAAAACCTGCTTAGCCTATGACACGGACTCCCCAGGGAGGGTAGTTGCAATTAAGGAGTATAAGACGAGTGGTATCGACAAGACTTGCCATCTGAAGATGATCAGTCACCCAAATATTGTGAACCTCCTTGACGCATTCAAACAGTCCAGGACTCTCTATTTAGCGTACGAGATTATGGATCTCTCATTGGAGCAACTTCAGTCTGGCATTCAACTCAAGGAGTCTGATCTTGCTTTCATTTGCAAGGAGGTGAGCTATACAAGCATACCATGTATTTCCCTTACCTACTGATATTTATATAGCTCTTGCATGGGCTTTGGTATATTCACCGAGATCTCGGTGTTTGCCATACAGCCCTTACTTGCGACAATGTGTTCATATCATCGCAGGGTAACGTGAAGATTGGTTGGTGCTCACACAAAATATGATAACTGAGACTAAATTTAAGCAGCGAATATAGCAGCCTGTCTGCTCGAACGACATCAAGGGTCCGAACAGTTCGATATCAAGTCCATTGGCATTATCATTTGTAAAGTCCTCGAGCCAGGACTCTCTGCTCATGACCTTGAGGCTTCTTATGCTAGTCTTTCCCATGGTAGCGATGGTATACGCACGTTTATCTCTACAACTGCGACGGCTACAATACAAGCTCTTTTACAGGTATGTTCTATCTTAATAAGCTCCTATTATTGCAATTCCTAATTCTTTACTAGCATGTTTTCATATCATATGCAGCTACTGAAGGATGCTTGGTTGTACCTGTTATGAAGGTCCGAGGTTTGGTTCTACATGATTACGAATAGTGAACCAATGATTGGAGCTCAAGCAATTGGTTCGTGCAAGTCCACACTATCAAGAAATTTAAATACTATGTCCTGAGCTTGAGACATGAGCCTTCTACTCAAACCCCTTCGATCATGCTTTGGTCCAACTAAAATAAGCTTTTCATGCACCGCCGTGGCGTAGAGATCTTTGAGAAGGACCAGGTGTGGTTTAGTACGACTTATTGATATGAACATCTGATTCTGATTTGCCAACTCCCGCGTCTTGCTTTCGAATAAATGTTCATCTTGACGCCTTCTTGACAGCTGAGTGTACTGCCTGGTTTGCCAGAAATAGAGCAGGATATCATCGGTTCGCGAAATTAAATCATTAAGAAAGTTTGAAGGCGTCATCAAGGGGTCAATTGATATTCGCGGGTCATCGACAGCCCAAAAGTTTGATTGGGTTGATATGGAGTGGGTTTCCCAGGAATCGGCTCTTGATTGATGGGCTGGCGGCTGGTTGAGTGGATCATCGCTCTCACGGCTTTCACTCAACCTGGACTCAAAGTCTCCTGACGAGTCTTGGTCTTGATGTTCACTTTCCCCTTGAGATTCATCTTGATGTTCTTGGAACCCATTCGTATTTATAGTGTTTCCTTCATCTTCCTGAGACTCTGTATTGTAGCTATGGCTGTGGTAACTATTTTCAGGGTAATCAGGGCTGGCAAAGAGGGCATCCTCCGCTGCCTCAGAATATGGGTCGATTTTGCCGAAGAACGAGAGAAATATATCACGCTGTATTGCGAAGGATGTCGCATATGACCTCGGAACCACTTCTTGTTGGTAGATATTTCCGAGAAATAAGAGCTGTCGGTCATTTAGATACCTCTGATAAGACGGTCGGCTACAACGAAATTTCTTGGGTAGATTTTCCAAGTCTGTGGTGAGTTCTACTTCGGCGCTAGACGCCCGAATAGCCGAGGTGTTGCTGATTCTTTCGGACGCGGTCTGAGCGATACTCAGGCTAGTCTCAGTATCAACATGATAACGATCTGGAGGCTGCAGCTGGTTAAGAAACTCTTCAGTGACGATTTGATATCGACTTTCTGCAGCCTGTGTTTGTAACGCCAAGATCTCATCGTTCTGAAAACCCAGTTTGACAGCTAACTGGGCTAGATTGATAAGTCTTTCTGACGGAACCCCAGATGGCCTAGCCTTTCGCTTTTTGCTATCTTGGTAGGGCCTGAGGCTAGTGAGGGACGGAAAGTCACGCATAACAGCAAGGAAAAGCTGTCGATAGCATATATCCATACCATGCCTGTCTTCTTCACGATGTTCAAATATATCTTCAGCAACTTGAACATTATATGATCCAGTTTGATCTCGCATATAACAATCCAAAAAAGCTTCGGACATGGTTCCCTTGTACCCTTCAGGCTGTAAGCCTTTCAGGGCGATCATACAGGCCTCGAAGTAGATAAAATCTCTGGTGAAGGTATGGAACGATAGTACCCTCCCACTGATCGTCGTAATTCTGTCTAATATTATGATACGATCTTCATCAGACTCTAATTGTCTGAAGATCTTCCGTCTCCGCATCCTGTCTTTGATTATGGCCCTGTCATGTAGGGATAGGTGAGGCATAAGTGTCTCAAGCTCATTCACCGTATCAGAGTCTAGGATCTCTGGTGCATATCCCTCCATGATGAATGACCATTGATCGTAGACGCACCCTAGATAATGAGTAATCTCCTGGTTGCTAAATTTAGCAGTGTCTAATTTTATGACTACACAGACTTACCTCAGGACACCTGACTGATAACCATCGGCCAAGATAGGATAGTTTAATAGCTTGCCATAAGCCCAAGAAGGGTAATAACTTATCAAAAGCCCTTTTGATTCTCTTGAAATCTTTCTCCATCCGTGCAAGCTCATGATGTATACCTTTGCTAAATCTGCCTCTCCATCTGAGCTCTGAATCAACATCTCCAATTCTTTCGTAGTGTCGTACATTCCGGTAAACGTCACCATCGCAATATGGCTGGTCATTTGGATGCTCATCTCTCATCCTCTGCCTTATTTCTGACGGCATATCTTCGTGATGTGAGCGGCTGCAGATATTAAATTGACATAGAAAGTCTTACCATCACTATAAAATTCAGCCACCCACCATCGTGCGGACCTCTTGATCGCAGCCAGAACTCGGTGATTCCCATGCAAAATACTCAGCCCCACCCCATCTGGTAGGTTTAAAAGGTGCAATGGGCCATTGAGAAAGGCCTCGGTTTCATTCTGGGCAGCCAGAGCTTGCTGAAGAACATCATTGCTTATCGAAACCTTCACATAATTCTCAGGGTTCAGACGAGAAAGCCCCTCCGACTGAAAGATTCTGTCCAGCTGGTCCACATGCGAATCTCGAATAGTTCGAGGACCCAAGTTACCAATTTGGAAATGGCGTAAGTATATTTTTGCTCTCCCTTTATAGTACCTCTGACGTTCCTGGAACACATCTTCCTGGGACATGATGAATTTCCTAGATCAGAAAATAAAAACGGGGACAAAATGATACGAATTTTAGAGAGGTCAAATCTCAAAGGAGGGTGAATAAAAGATCTCTTAAAAGTTCTGTGGTCAGAATATTTGACGTTTAGGAAGATTGTAGTGGGCAAATTTTTAGAGGCGGTATAATTCAAGTGACTGTAAAATCTATGGCCCGAAACTTTTGAGCCCTAAGAAAATTCTATGATGCGGAATATTGTACGCTGATAATTTTCGACTCTGGCGGCGTTAACCGGACATATGAAATTGGCGTAATTGTTAAAAGGTGCAAAAGCGCAATATGGAAAAGGTGCATAATCATAAGCGTCTACTTCGACATAAATATGTCATATAGCCACTTCCCCCTCATATATCTCACAACATCTCTATACCTAAGAATGGGACTTCTTTCCAAAATCGCCCGGAAGTTGGGATTTGTACGCGGGTATGTAGTAGTGGTACGCCATACTCGTGGACAAACCCGGATTATCTACTCCATCTGGCCACCTCATGAAGTTGTAAGAAATCTACAATAGTATAGAGATTTTGAACTAACCCTCAGATGTAGAGTGATAAGCTTGAGCCGTTGGACGATGATGATATCGAAGGGAAAGTTGAAAATAACCTGAGGGTCCACGACTCACACGGCCGACCTGTATTTTCTCGTTAAATATTATAGTCTTTAGTATTCACAAATTACAAACATTCCAAAGCTGAAAAAGAGGAGTTCGAGTTAAATCACTAAGTGCGTCCAGCTCAAATTTGGTCTTGAATAGAAAATACATGCACATCTATCCTGCAAATGGAAAGCATCTCATAAACACCCACAATTTCTGTCTACATATAGGGCATGGATCTCCAAGAAGCTCTTTATTGCATTCCTCACAACTCAAATGCCCGCATGACCGCACATGCCAATGATCCGGCTGCTCGTAGCAAATGTTGCATCTCAGAATGCGTATCTGGGAAAGCGCCGCTTTATGCTGCTCTGCCTGTAGGAGAAGCTTACTCTGAAGTTCCTCTTCATGCCGCTCTCCCTGTAGGAGAAGCTTACTCTGAAGTTCCTCTTCATGCCGCTCTTCCTGTAGGAGAAGCTTGCTTTCAATCTCCTGAACTTGCTTTTGCAGCCTCTCGAGTTCTTGATCGCGATATCCAACTTCTTCGTCAAGCGTCTTACGCAGCTTCTTGAAACAGGTATCCTGGTCCATGATTAGTTCAAGAAACTAGAGTGTCTCGGAAAAGCCATACCAGAGTGTCACGATGTGTTCCTTTGGTCCTTTTGCGTTTGCGTGATGATTCTATGCTACCACTCGCAGCGTCGTTTGGTTCGATCAGGACCTCAAGAGATGTACGTGGAGATCTTCTTTGGACTTGTGAATCGGTTGGCCGCCAGCTCAGGGGTAGTTCGTCATCTTCAATAAGAATCGTACTTGACGGACTGGTCATCGTGGCCGGTAAAGAAGAGAGGTGTACCTAGGTGCTAGGTTGACCAGGTGGGAAAAAAGTAGAAGTCTGACTGAATCAGAGTTGGGGCACAAGGGCCATTATATACCCGAGAGCCAACAGTTCGAGTGGGCTACTACTAAGAGACGATTGGACACTACTTTGCGTGATTTCTCGTGCATATGTATGTAACCCGAATAGATTACACAACCCTGAAATAGAACATAAAATATTGAGTGGCGCAAAGCAATTTCTCATCCTAACCGCAATAAGACTTAGGCAACTATCCCGATCCCTCCAATTGACCATAGGTACTTGCGATACCTGGGAATGTCGGTCTTTTCCCAGTCATGGCCTTGACATAGTCTCCTTCTTGAGATATTGCCATAAAGTATAAGAGGATGTCGACTTCGAACTGGGTGAGGTCCCCCATCAAAGAATAAAAATCCTCACGAGACTCCCATGTCCAGATATCACCCTCCCAACGCACTGCAATGAATGTAGTTGGATATGTTCCGTTTGGAGTCGGGTACAGAGATTTCGTTGGTTCGAACACAGACTTTGAGTCCACTTCCCAAGCTATTAACCCGATCCCGGAAATTGATAAAGAGCGGTCCTCCATCACAGACTCCTGCCCCTCATTTGGATCCTTGTGTTGCTTGACAC